TGTGCCCAGGAATGCCACAGAGCCTGCTCTGCTTGCCCAGAGTTAGTCAGTTTTCGGAGCAGACACTCCTGGATTGCTGTAAGCTTTTGATTGATTTCTGGAGTTCTGAAAGAGTCGGTTCTGCCAGTTCTGCCAGTGTTCTTATTGCTTTGGTGGTGGAGGGAGTTTTCAGAGTCTCTTATCCAGCCAGTTCTGCTCACATTCTTCTCTGACTGACTTTAATGCAGCACCTGCTGGAAATCACAGCTGCCCCTCCGTGCAAGGTCAGCATGTGGCCTTTTAGGTCCCTCCTGGTTAGACTGGGGAACTGGAATGAGATTCCTAGAAGCGCTTCCCTTTGCAACGTGAAATCACAGCCATAATCCAGGCACAGCTCTTAGCTATCCAAAGCCCCATCCAAATTCTGCCTTCTCTGCAGACAGACTCCCTAACTGTCTCTGAAAAGTCAGGCTCAGGAAATTTATCAAGATGTAGGTCTTAATCGTAAGATAATATACATCTTAGCATAATTAATCTAGTGGGAAACGGCAAGAACTCACATTTGTAGCGTTTGTTAAAGCCTCTCATCTTGTGGCAGGCACTTGATATATGTTATTTAATAAGTGTGCTACATTTTTATATGTGCATTTGGGCAACCAGTATGTGTTATTTGACACATCCGTGCTCTATTAGTATGTGGTGTGTGTAACAGTCTGTGAGGTGCAGGTGTTGTCCACGTTTGTAGGTGAGGAGTTGGGGTCGGGTGGCTTGCCCAGGGCCTCACCGCTGTTTGTGAGCGTGGGCGTGGGCCCCGGGTCTCGCCCACACTGGACCTCATTCCACTGTACGGCTCTGTGTTCCACGGAGGAGGCACTGGTGCGGTGGTTCTGTGTTGCTGGTACGTAGGGGTTTTCCTCTGGGTGAACGCCCAGCAGTTCATTTTCTGTGTGTTCAAGAGAACACCTAAGAAGAGAATTAACTAAATTCTAAATTCAGAAAATGATACAGAAATTACATTTAGAATTAAGACAGCCTTCCAGGGATTTGGGGTCCCAGCCCCAAAGTGGTGATTGATTTTGGTGAATGAAACGTTGGAGTGGCCGTGGCCCGGGGCACACTGCATCACACTTACACGTGGAGTGGGCTGGAACCGTGAGCTCCGGAACGTCCTTCCCAGGTTTTATTCCAAAGTGCAAGCATATTACATGAGCCTTAATACAAGACTAGAAGATGAAACAGTGGCTTGTTGGTGGCTCTTTTTTTTTTTTTGCGGTACGTGGGCCTTTCACTGTTGTGTCCTCTCCCATTGCGGAGCACAGGCTCCGGACGCGCAGGCTCAGCAGCTGTGGCTCATGGGCCCAGCCGCTCCGCGGCATGTGGGATCTTCCCGGACCGGGGCACGACCCGTGTCCCCTGCATCGGCAGGCGGACTCCCAACCACTGCACCACCAGGGAAGCCCTTGTTGGTGGCTCTTTTGGGGTGACTGCAGCTAGGATGACATAGCCGGTGCCTCCTGTAAAGGCTTACAGTTCTGATTTCGACCAGGTGCCTCTTCGGACGGCCCCCTGAAGCTGCTGCCAGATGGCCACTTCGACATGGTGGTCATTGACGAGTGTGCCCAGGCCCTGGAGGCCAGCTGCTGGATCCCCCTACTGAAGGCCAGGAAATGCGTCCTGGCCGGAGACCACAAACAGCTGCCCCCCACCATCTTCTCTCACAAGTAAGGCCCCTCCGCCCCTCAGCTGCCACCCCTTTGTCTGTCCCTCGAAGCCCAGCCCAGAAGCCCCGGGCTCACCTGGAGGTCCTGGAGGTGCTGGGAAGCCTGGCCGATGTGCTGACTTAAGGATGTGCGGTGGGTCGGTGGCTCCCTGGGCATCTGAGCCCCCACCTTGGCGGAGGGAAAAGCCCGGGGTCCCCCTGATCAGAGGCACGGTTTCAGTTACACCGCACAGAGGAGGTAGGGTCTCAAGATGTATGACTCACAGATCCCAGAAGAGGGGGCGTGGCCAGCGGGGGAGGGGCAGCCGTCCAGCCCAGGTCACTAGAGAGCGGCTAGCTGGTTGGGGCCGAGGCCACTGGCTTTTCCTGGGCTTCACTTTCAGGGGCGGCTGTAAAAGGTGCCCCGGGCAAAGCAGAGCGGGCGCGGGAGCCCTGAGCTCGGGTCCTTCTCTGGGCGTGCGGGCTCTGGAGTGAGCTGGATGGTCACACTGTGAGGCCGCCCGGGCAGCAGCTCCGAGAGCAGTGGTGTTTCTCATCCCACTGGGGGTGCTGTCCTCCGTGGGCTCCTCTCCTTGCTCGTTCAGACGGCAGCTCGGTCAGACGCGTGCTCCCTGAGGTCGGGGGTCGAGTGGTGTCCATCCTTGTGGCCCCAGAACCGGGCGCGTGCTCAGTCCCTGCCTGTCGAGTTGATGTCCTCTAATGGGGCGGCAGGTGGGGGTGCGCGTTCGCGCGGGGGTCCCGGGGGAGAGCTGGTCCCCTCGGTGGCTGTGTGACTGACTCTGGCTGATTGGCCCTCATCTGCAGGCACGTCCTTACACTGAGGACACAAGGGGTGGCTCAGGGGACTGCGCTCCTGCCGCTGTAGAGACACAGCAGTCAGTCCCTGGTGGTGTGACTGCTTCCTGGGTGCGGCCTGCTGCCGCCACCGGGCCTCTTCACCCCGTCCGCAGACCCCCCCAGGGCTCCGGCCACGCTGGCCCCCTCGGTCCCTCCTCCCCGGGTGTCGGGTCCCGACTGCCCTTCATTCACTTCACTGTCATCCCCGTCGGCGGCTCGCTCGCCTGGCTTTGTCAGCACTCGGCACTCCTGGCAGTGGTGTGTGTCAGTCCATCGTTTACTTCCAGCGGCAGTGTGAGGCCTGTGAGGCCTGGGGACAAGGCCTGGCACTTGGCGTCCCTGAGCAAACTGGCCTCTTCCGGGCCAGCTCCCACGCCCAGGTCCAGGGGCGGCTCCCAGAGGCTGAGGCCCCCGCGAGATCAGGAGGCGGGCAGACCTCTCCCTGCCGCTGCTGTCGGAGACTAGGGTCTCCGCCAGTCCGTGTGAGGGAGGCCGTCGGGGGAGCCCGCGGGAGGGGAGTGGCGACCCTGGAGCTGAGGGGTGTGCAGGTCAGGGTCCCCCAGGAAGGGGCATCCGGCCGGGGGCTGCAGAGTGAGGGCGCAGAGCATGGGGTGAATAGAGTGGGAGACAGGGGAACGTGGTTTGGAAGATTGTCCTGGTGGGAGCGGGCGTGTGCATGGGGAGGGGCTCGGACGCTCTCCAGAAGCAGGGCCTCGGGAGCCTCAGGGGCGTCGATTCAGTGGCTGGTTCCGGAGGAGGCCCAGGGGGTCCTGGGAAGCGGGTCTCTGGGTGGACGGTGTGGGCTCGGGGAGGGGGCACCGTATGGTGTCTGTGGAGAAAGTAGGGTGATTTGGGGGGAAGTCTGTCTGTGGGGTCGTGCTGGGTGTTTCTGGGTTTGTGGTTGGGGCTGGTAGTCACCTCACCCCTCCTGTCCGTGGCGCTGATTTTGGTTGGTACCTTTATTAAACAGCATTAACTGCAGAGGCCTGGTCAGTTACGGAGGGAGGACGGATGCCTGGGTAACACTGGGCACTTTGCCTCCGTGGTGAGAGGAGGCTCTGGAGCCTGGCCGCCTGGCTTGGGCCTGGCTCTGCGGCTCACTGGCTGGGCGGCCGCGGGCTGGTCTCACTCCTCGTGTGGAACAAGGGAAGCATAACAGTAACTGGCTCAGGTTGTGTGAGGATGAGGCGAGTTAATCGGTGTAAAGTGCCCAGATCAGTGCCCGGTGCGTGGGAAGCACCCAGCAACCGTCACCTACTCCTGTTGTTAGTAGTGGACTCCTTACGGCCGGAGTGTGTTGGAATTCTTAAAAACTTGTCTGTGTCAGTTCCCTTTAGCTGCTGTAACAAATTACCACGAACTCAAGCAACAGGGCTTTATTATCTTACAGTTCTGGAGGTCCAAAATCAGTCTCTGCGGCTTGAGATCAAGGTGTGGGCGGGGCTGGTTCCTTCTGGAGGCTTCGGTGGGGGGAGAATCCGGGCCTTTGCCTCTCCCGGCTTCTGGAGCCGCCTGCCTGCCTTACCTGTGAGCCCTCCTCCGTCTTCAAAGCTGGCTCTGCAGCATCTTCAGGGCTCTTGTCACATCACATTCTCTGATGCTGACCCTTCTGCCTCCCTCTTAGGAGGCCCTTGTGATGACGTGGGCCCTCCCGGATGACCCGGGATCATCTCCCGTCTCTGTTCCTCCCTTTTGTCACTGAGGTCACATGCTTGCAGGTCCCAGGATTAGGATGTGGGCACCTCTGTGGGGCCGCACCCTTAGTTCTAGGTGAGAAATGGGGCGTGGGTTGCATGCTGACGTTTGAGGACTGCTTTCCTCCCCGGCCCCTGGTTTAGGCTGGACTCAGGACTCAGGCCCTCCTTCCTTGTCCTCTCCTTGGGGCAGGGCTGCGCTGGCGGGGCTGTCACTGAGCCTGATGGAGCGCCTGGCGGAAGGGCATGGCGCCAGGTCGGTACGGATGCTGAGCGTGCAGTACCGCATGCACCAGGCCATCGCGCGCTGGGCCTCGGAGGCCCTGTACCATGGACAGCTCACGACCCACCCTTCCGTGGCCGGGCACCTCCTGCGGTGAGTGACTCGGCTGCACCCCTGTCCCCTGTGTTGCCGGAACCGTGTTCCACAAAGATCTGAGAGTGAAAGTCGCCTCTGAGACTGGATTTCTGCATCTTGCCCTGGAGAGCTGGGTCAGGCTCCTGCAGTCTGAGGTCCCTTGCTCTCTGCACCGCCCGCTGTCCTGTCGGGGGAGAGGGGTGGCTGGGGGAGAAGGGCAGTGGGGCTTCTGTTCCTGGGACCCCAGCGCCGCTCTGTCGCCGGGGCCTCGTGCGTTCAGTCTCACCTGTGTGCAGGGATCTCCCGGGAGTGGCTGCCACAGAGGAGACGGGTGTCCCCCTGCTGCTGCTGGACACGGCCGGCTGCGGGTTGTTTGAGCTGGAGGACGAGGATGAGCAGTCTAAAGGGAACCCCGGTGAGCCTGCCTGCAGAGGCCCAAAACGGCCCTGCGCTGCTCTTTAAAGATCGAAGCCCCTCTCAGCTGCCCGCGTCAGAGAGGAGCGGAGCGAAGCGAGGGGAGCAGGCGATGGCACAGCGCTCCTTGGGGCAGCAGTCCTGAGCCAGACGCCCTGGGAGGTCAAGTTCTCGATGGGCGGGCGGCCCCGAGTCAAGGGAGCGGGTGGCCCAGGCCATGTCCTGTGTCCTCGTTCAGAACCGAGTGGCCCAGCGTGGCCTGGCTTGGCCTTGGGACGCGACCCTGGCTCACTCACAGGGCTGCCAGTCAATGGGACACACGGCCGTTCTTCCACTAAAAGAGGAGACTCCCGTCAGCTGTGGGTCCTGTGCTGTTTGCTGGGCCTGGCGGCCCCTCTGCCCCAGGTTGCTGGCTCGCAGGAGTCAGGCCCAGTGTGAGAGCAGCCTGTCGTCACAGACAGAAAAGTGCTTAAAAAACAGGCGTCGGTGACAGGCGTCCAAGGCGCGCCCCACCTCGTGCTGAAGAGTCGTCCATTTCCCTCCAGGTGAAGTGCGCCTCGTCAGTCTGCACGTCCAGGCGCTGGTGGACGCCGGTGTCCAGGCCGGCGACATTGCCGTCATCACGCCGTACAACCTGCAGGTGTGGGGCTCTGCTGTCTCTTGTGTGTCGGGGCGACTCGCCGCCCCAGGGGGGCCAGAGGGAGTGGGCGATTTATGGGCTCTTGGGACGAAAGCTCCAGGGTGGTACTGACCACAGCCTGACTGGATCCAGAGCTCAAATGACCTCAGCAACGGCCTCCGTCCACCTGTCCGTGTTTCCCTCCTGCTGTGCCATCCCCTGCCCCATCCTGGGCTCTCTCCTGGTTTGCTGTGTCGGCTGCGTTTTCAGGCCTGCCCTCGGGGCCCAGGCAGCCTCAGCCCGACATCGTCCTTCCAAGTGGTCCTGGGGGCGCTGCCTGTCTCTTTATGGCATTTCCCACGGGAGTCTCAGCTTTGAGTCTTATCGGTCCGGCTCAGGTTGTCCCGTCCCTGAGCCGCTGGGATGAGGGGTCCTCGCCCCTCCCGGGGTCGGCCTTCCGGCTCGTGGGACACCACGGGGCTGGCGCGGCTCCGGAGGCTGCCTGAAGGAAGGTCGGGGGCGCGGCTGTCGCCTGGAGAGGGCGGTGGGTCGGGACCAGCAAGCACAGCAGACGTCTGCTGCCTTCTCTTGGGCTTTTCTGCCGTTTCCCCTCTCAGTGCCTCTGTGCTCGTGAAGCAAAGCCTGCCTGCTTTGGTAGGAAAGACGTACCTGCTTCAAAGCATTCTGAGGCCCGCTGATCAGTTGCCATCCCGGTTTGGAGGCGTCACACGGGATGTCTGAGCCAAGCGAGATGGTGACACACACGTCAGCACTGGGGTGTGGGTCACAGCTGCCACGTTTGTGTGCTGTCTTGGTCTGTCGTGCGCACGCCCGTGGGAAAAGCGGTTCTCGGAAGTCTTGTCCCCGAGGCTCCTGCGGGGCCTCCCTGGGGCCTGGCAGCTCTGCAGGGCCAGGCCTCCGCCGGGCTGAACAGCAGCGCGTCCAGGCCGCCCCAACCTGGGCTGTGATATGTGGCCTCGCTTGGTGTTTCAGGTGGACCTGCTCAGACAGAGCCTCACACACAGGCACCCGGAGCTCGAGATTAAGTCTGTCGACGGCTTCCAGGGCCGAGAGAAGGAGGCTGTGATCCTGTCCTTCGTCAGATCCAACAGGAAAGGTGCGGAGCCGGGACTTCCCTGGCAGTCCAGTGGTTAGGCCTCGGCGCTTTCACTGCCCAGAGCCCAGGGTCGATCCCTGCTTGGGGAACTAGGGTCCCACAAGCCGAGTGGGGTGGCTGGGGAGACCAGGACGCTGCTGCAGAGGGGGCCCCAAGAGCCCAGAGCTTGTCTCCTGGCCTCCAGGCCAGTTTAGCCTCAGGGCATGGCTTCTGCGGCCAGGGCATGTGGATGTGCCATCTGGTAAGAAAACTGTACCCAGAAACAGTTGTTAGTTAACGAACGGGCTCTGTGAGTCATTTCCAGTACGAGGTTGGCAGCAGATAAGAGGAGGGGATAAGCTGAGGCGGGGGAAGAACACACTGGAGTGTCCCTGGCGCTTTCCCTCGTGTGTCGGCCGCAGCTGCAGCCCTGGGCTGTGTCCTGGGTCTGGGCTTAGGGAGAGGACTTTGTACCGACTTGGGAATGAGCGGCAGTCTGCTAGCTGCCAAAGCCCCAGGTGGGACCGTGGGACCGTCCTAGACGGCGGCTGGGGGCTGAGGGGTGGGTGCTGAGTGACAGGGCCCCTGGCTGTGGGGGTGGACGGAGCCACGTGGTCCTTCTCGGGTGACGGTCGCTGATGGGGGGAGGCCTGCCTTCCTAACCCTTAGTCCCTGCGCCCCCTCCCGGCTCGTGTGCAGGTGAGGTTGGCTTCCTCGCCGAGAACCGGCGCATCAACGTGGCTGTCACCCGCGCCCGGCGGCACGTGGCCGTGGTCTGCGATTCCCACACCGTCAGCAGCCACGCCTTCCTGAAGACGCTGGTGGATTACTTCACAGAGCACGGGGAGGCGCGCACAGCCTTTGAGTATCTCGATGACATCGTCCCTGAAAACTACTCCCGTGAGGGTGCCCAGGGCCCTGGCCAGGCCGGCGCGAAGACCCATGGCTCTGCTGCGATGGCCAGGAGGGCTTCCGGGAGCAGGCAGCCCACGGGGGCCGCGCTGGGTCGGAAGGAGCCGGGCACGGCGCCTTTGTCCTCCGAGGCCCAGCCTCAGCCCAGCCTCAACAGAGGCGGCCGGGAGGGGGCCAGGAGCAGAGATGGCACAGAGCAATTCAGGGCCGTGATAACGGAGTTCGTGGCGAGTGAGAAGACACAGCTAGAGTTCCCTGCCTCCCTGGATTCGCAAGACAGGATGTGGGTCCATCAGATCGCGGAAGAGTACGGGCTGAGGCACGAAAGTGCCGGGGAGGGGAAGGAACGGTTCATCACCGTGAGCAAGAGGGTCCCAGCGGCCCCTGCGGCTCCAGCAACCCCGGCAGGGCCTGGCAGCAAAGCCCCTCTGTGTCCAGAGCCCCCCAGCCCTGCGCAGACAGAGCCCGCCATCGGGGAGCAGAGCAGCCGGGGCCAGCCGGACCTGAAGGCGCTGCACCTGGACAGACTGCAGAGGGTGGAGAGCCAGCAGGAGCAGCGGGCCACAGGCTCCGGGCCGCGGAAGTTACCAGAAAAGAAAAAGAAGAATAGAGCAGACGGTAAGCTGGTCGGCTCGTGAGAACACAGGCGTGGTGCCCCCTTCACTGGGGAGTTTGCCCCACCGCAGACCCACCTGCCACCCTCGAAAGAATCAGGACCCCTTCCCGGTGGTGCCCCTGCCCTAATCCTGCATTTTCTGCCCGGTTTCAGTCGGTGTGGTCTGAGTTCCCTGAGGGCCGTGCTAGGCACAGTGGCCTCTGTGTGCCTGGGGCCTCGCCTAGGGCCCGGCAGGTAGGGAGCCCTCAGAGCTTCTACTGCGGGTGAAGGGCCTGGAGGGGCAGCCGGGGTGGGCCCGGGGCCCCTGGGAACGGAGGGGCAGCTGCAACGCCCTGCTGCAGCAACGGTGCTCCTTCCACGGGCTCGTGGGGTCCCAGGCATGGCCGCACACTCCACTGTCGCATCCCGGGCTGAGCTGGCCCTCTCCTGGGGCGCCCGGGGCCTGTTTACTCTGCACGCCCGTCCCGTACTGAGATTGAAGGTCCAGGGTCTGGATTTTCTGTAGACACCTAGGCGAGCTCTGTTACAGCCGCTTCCCTCTTGGCAAGACCGCACAGGCGGTCCCGTTGCCCGTATCCCTTGATGCCTGTGCGCAAAGCTGCGTGAGCATAATTCTCAGCTTTCACAGCAGTCTCCCTGCGCCTGAGGGTCCGTCTGGACTCACTCCACGGCATTTAGTGAGCGACCTCCGTGTGCCAAGCCTTGTGCTAGTGAGCAAGACGGACGCCGCCTCCGCCCTGTGGGAGCTGACACTCTGATGGGGGAAGGAGATGCTTCACTCCTGTTTAAACCCCACTGAGAACATGTAACTGCCATGGAGGACGGGGGCCAGGAAGGCATGACTGGAGGAACTGGCCTTCCTTCCAGAGGAAGGCGTGGGGCATGGCCGCTTGAGGGCTGAGCGCCCTGGGGAGACATCACCCCATTTCACGGCTGCTGGCACTGCTGGGGGTTTGAAACGCTTCTTCAAGCAGCCAGAATTATGGAGTGATTACAGAATTACGACCATATCATAATTGTGTCTCTCTTCCTCTTCTGAGCGTTTTTCTACAACTTTAAAAGATTTTCACACGCCTGGTTACAAACATTAAGGTTTCATTAGCCCTGGCTGGTGAACGTGCAGGAGTTCATTGGACCATTACCCTGGAGGTGTGGTAGTTCGGGGTTTTTTAATACTTAATGAGGTAAGGAACAGTCTCATATTTAAATGCTTTTCTGGATTTAAGAGGATGAACTTTGTGCAGGCCTGCTCCCTGCACGGCCAGCCCTTTCTGGAGACTCATGCCTTCACTGCCTGGTGTGAGTGGTCGTCGGTTCAGTGAGGGACCCAGCTCGATGGTGCATCTGCTCACACGCTGTGGCCCTGAAAGCAGGAGGCCGGGCGCAGCTGCCCGATGGGGCAGATGTGGGCCCAGCGGGAGAGTTCCGGTCCGGCTTCTTTCTCCTTGCCTGTTCGGGTGACGCCTTTCTCCCCTCAGGACCCATGGCCGTAGATCTGCCAGCCGGGGAGGACTTTGACGCCCTGGTCTCGGCCGCCATCAAGGCTGACAACACTTGTGGCCTCACCAAGTGCACAGCCAGCGTCGTAACCCTGGGCCAGCTCTGTCTGCACTGCGGCCGCCGTTACTGCCTCAGCCACCACCTGCCCGAGGTACGTGCACCCTCGGGCTCGGGCAGTGGGGAGGGTGGCAGGGCTTTGTCTCCAGGACGCAGATCCTGGGTGTATGCACTCCATACAGACTGTGGGCCTGAGTGTGTGTGTGTGTGTGTGTGTGTCACCCACATACAGACTGTGGGCCTGTGGGTGTGTGTGTGTGACCTGCATTCAAACTGTGGGCCTGTGAGTGTATGTGTGTGACCCACATACAGACTGGGCCTGTGCGTGTGTGTCACTCACGTACAGACTATGGGCCTGTGCCTGTGTGTCACCCACATACAGACTGTGGGCCTGTGCGTGTGTGTGTGACCCACATTCAAACTGTGGGCCTGTGCGTGTGTGTGTGTGACCCACATACAGACTGGGCCTGTGCGTGTATGTGTCACCCACATACAAATTGTGGGCCTGTGTGTGTGTGACCCACATATAAACTTTGGACCTGTGCGTGTGTGTGTCACCCACATACAAACTGTGGGCCTGTTTGTGTGTGTGTGTGACCCACATACAAACTGTGGGCCTGTGCGTGTGTGTGGCACCCACATATAAACTTTGGACCTGTGCACGTGGGTGTGTCACCCACATACAAACTGTGGGTCTGTGCATGTGTCACCGCCAAGCAGATTGACATCACCCTGCCAGGGAGGTGTGGGAGCCGGCCCTGCACTGGCATCTGCTCGGAGGAGGGTCTGGGCAGGGCTGCAGGAAGGGTTTTGGGCTCTAGCTGCCAGCCCTGTGAGGGTGTGGACCCTGCCCGCCCCCCACCCCCGGGAGCCTGTAGGTGAGAGTCCATGTGCGGGAAGGGTAGGGAGCCCCTCCGAGGTTGGTGCTGGGCTTCCTGACCCCCGAGCTCTGCGGTGGCAGAACTGGGGGCCTCTTCCTCCGCCCCCAGCACAGCACTGCCTCTTGTGTCCCCCAGATCCACGGCTGCGGGGAGAGGGCTCACGCCCATGCGCGGCAGAGGATTAGCCGGGAGGGGGTCCTCTACGCCGGCAGCGGGACCAAGGACAGGTCCCTGGACCCTGCCAAGAGGGCCCAGCTGCAGAGGAGGCTGGACAATAAGCTGGACCAGCTGACCGGCCAGCGGAGGGGCAAGAGGAAGGAGAAGGGGAAGTGAGGCCGGGACCCCACCGCCTGCACCGCCTCTGTGTCTGAAGCTGTGGCTGCCGGTGAGCGGGGCTGCCCCCGGCGGCTTTCTGTCACTGGCGGCAGCTCCTGGCGACAGTGCTACAGGCAGACCCACGCCGTCTCCCCGGTGACGGGCGAGGTGGCTGCAGGAGCACGGGGCGGTGAGCTGCTCTGACGTGGTGGGTCGCGGTGGAGAGGCCGCGGGGCACAGCTAGGGCCAGTGGCCGCTTCTCAGGGCTGTTGTAGGGAAGGCCCTGGAGTGCTGCGTCTCCTTCCTCACTCCCGGCCCAGGCCATTCCCCGAGATCCCACCCTCGGAATCACGGGCTGCTGCTTCCGGCGTCGGGAAGGTTCTGTTCCCTCGGACCCCTGCCTGGGCCTCAAACTCCATAAAAGTGATGTCCCCGCTGTCCAGGGCTGGCCAGCGTTCAGCCCGTCAGGTGAGAGGGCGCACACGTGACGTCTCGGAGCTGGCACTTCTCCTGTGTGCCCCCGTGCATGACTCGCTCCTCGTTGGGGCTGTGACTTCACCGAGGCCGTCTTCTGTCTGTTCCCTCGTGGCTGCGGTGGCCCCAACCTGACCTGACAGCTCTGGCCATTCTGCTGCTGTGCAGGCCCTAGCTCAGGCCCGGGTGTGGTTTACGAAGGCTCCCGGGCCGGCGCCTGCCCGTCCTCGGCGCTGTTCCCGGTTACGGTCTCGGGAAAGCGCCGCCCCAGAGCGCCGGCGCTGCTGACCCTTGCAGACCCAGAGCCCCTGGAGGTGTCCTCCCGGGTCCCTCGTTGAAGAGAACCCCAGGTGGATGTATTCTTTTATCCTCAGAGTTTTTTGTGTTTCAAAGGGATATAAGTGATTTAAAAACTAAATAAAAATGTGTGCCCGTGGTCCATAGTATGTGTGACGTGTCCGCGGTATGTGTGTGGCGTGCCCACGGTATGTGTGTGGCGTGTCCACGGTATTGTGGTGTGTCCACGGTATGTGTGTGGCGTGTCCACGGCATGTGTGTGACGTGTCCACGGCATGTGTGTGACGTGCCCACGGTATGTGTGTGGGGTGTCCACGGTACGTGTGGCGTGTCCACGGTATGTGTGTTGTGTGTCCACGGCATGTGTGACGTGTCCACGGCATGTGTGTGACGTGTCCACGGCATGTGTGTGACGTGTCCGCGGCATGTGTGTGACGTGTCCACGGTATGTGTGTTGTGTGTCTCTGGTGCTCATTCTTCCCCTTCGCTCAAAGCGTCACTTTCCAAAGTGGCTGAGAGCCGGTGAGCGCAGGACACTCGGGGCCTTAGTGGGGAGGTGGGTGCCGGCCACGCGGGGCAGCTCTTGTCCTGGGGACAAACGACAAGGGGGAGAAAACGTACCTGTTCTGCTTGATTTTCTACCAACTGGAACGAAAGTTTCAGGTTGGCAGGTGTAGCACTGTGAACTGGAGAGGAAAACACAGGGTCCGGCTCGAAGGAAGGGCAGCGTTGAGGATGACGCTTTGCCCAGAGCCACCGCTGGGGAAGAGGCCAGGCCTGTGCGGGGCCTCCGGGCATCGGCCTGGCTCCTTCCCTGTCACCAACTGCACCTTCCCACCCCCATCGTCTTTCCCATCCCCGGGGCCCTCAGAGCCACTGGTGTTCAGGTGTCTGGGTTTTTGGCCTCAGTCTCCCTCAGGAGTCCCCCCCCAGATGCCATTTATCCAGCATCTTGATGGAGCCTGTCTTTCCTGCCAGGCAGACACGCTTGACCACCCTGCGTTTGCCAGTGCTGGGCCCCGCCCCCCGCCTGGCGGCCCTCCCTGTGCCCCCTCTCGTGGGGACGCCCCACCCCTGCCCAGGCCCGACACCCACTGTGCACCACGGCCCCTCCTCCTGCCCCTTCCGTGGGCGCCTTCCTCACTGGCTCCCGTGAAGTGGCCGTAGGACTGAATTTTTCGGGAAGAGGAAGGAGTGGGGACCCGGGTGCATTGTGTCTTTAAGTGCCATACACGGTCTGGTGATGATTCATGTCAGCACAGAGGGCACTGCCTCGTGTAGAGCCGCAGCTCCCGCTGCCCTTGAGGGCCCAGGCTGGTGGGAAACGTGGACGTGGCTACAAGGTCACAAGGTGCCTGCATTTGAAGCATCGTTTCATGGTTGCTGAGCGGTACGGTGGCAGCTCTTTTGCCTCCTGAGGGTGCTAATCTTCCTGCCTCTGTGGTAACAAGCCCCGATCCCCTTGCCACAGGGAGGCTCTGGGTCCTCAGCTGGATCAGAGAACATACCCTAACAGCCACAGGAGGACCAGGTTCAGGGATGGGCCAGCATCCAAACAGGGCCCATCAGGGATCTACCCTGGGGTCCGCAGACAGATGCTGAAAGAAAGGTGTTGGTTCTTTTTCCACCGGGGATGACCCACAGCCACCCCTCCTGCCATCTGGAGGAAGCCTGTCTGTAGGAGAGAAGGAGGCCAGCACGGAAGCAGCGCCAAAACGGGGTGTGGGGCAATAACCTGATCACATCGAGCACCTGGGTCAAGCTACACCTGATCCCCAGCCCACTCCCAGTGTCCCGGACTAATACATCCCCTTTTCTAGCCTTGGGTCTCCATCTGCCTTGGGTTTCCGTCGCTAGCAGCTAAAAGGATCTTCGCTGACCCAGTTGTGCCCACGTCTGTGTATCTTATTGGGTCTCTCCAGTCCCGGCACAGAGGCGGTGCCGAGTCAGGGCACCGGAAAGGGCAGGCCCTGTACCTTCGTCCCGTGGGCCATCCCGCCAGGAAGAGCTCGAAGTACAGGAAGGAAGTTGGCGCGGGGGTGGCGAGAGGCCTCCCGAGTGGGGGGCCCTGCGTGTGGATGCCAGCTCTGCTGAACGTGGCTTCTGCTGCCATAGGGACGGGAATGGGCCGCCTCTCTGGCTATGCTGAGAAGTCCGCAGCATGGCAGTGGGCAACGGGCAGTGGGCAGTGTGTGTTGGCAAGGCCTGGGCCGGGCTGCTGGGCTCTTGGCAGTACCCCGTGTGGTTTGCTGTGGTTGCCTCACGCCCCTGCTCCGCATGGAGCCTTCACCCCTCCACCACTGCCCTCCACTGAAGCCGGCTTTGACCCATGGTTAAAATGTCACGAGTTGATGGTTACAACACAAAAGTTTTCCATTTCTCATCCCGGAGAGACTTTGTTAGGAAAATATTTGTAGCTGGTTGCTCAAAAAAATGACCTAGAGTTCAGCCTGGGCAGGGTAGCCCCAAAAAAGGAGAAAACATCCCAGGCCAAAGAAGCGTGAGCTGCTGGCACCTGCAGGCTGCAGCCCTTCCTGAAGGAGCAGCTGGAGTTGGGGTCCCTTTGGGTGGGCGTGTTTCTTTGCCTCTGTGGAGGCACCAACGAGGGGGCCTGCCGTTTTCTTCTTTTGGGGTAGGGGCGATACAGCCCAGGATGGAGCCCCGGCTTCAGAGCATGTCAGCCCTGGGGAGCATGCCCAGATCTACCTTGTACGGGCTGCATGACCCTGGGCCTCAGTTTTCTCGTCTGTAAAATGGGGAGGTAACAGGACCCATCTCACAGGGTTGCTGTGAAGATGAAAAGCTTTAAACTCACAAGGCCCTTGAAAGAGTGCTTCAGTGCTCCGGAATTGTCCGCTGTCCTTGTCATCTTGTTGCAGAGCTGCCGTGAAGATGACACAAGACAGCACATGTGGCTCCTCGTCTGGGTTCAGCAAATGGTGTTTCCCGCACTCAGCCACGGCCAGAATGCCTGGAGCCCCAGGAGCTGGTCTGCTGCCAGCCGATGTTGCTGATTCGGTGAGCCCTGCACCTGGGCTGGCACCCCGGGCTTCCTTCGGTGCAGCAGGGCGCACCCTCACCCCCTGCCGGTGGGCCAGCCCTGCCCTGCCCTGTGTTTACCTGGGTTTGTTTGGAGCGTTACCAGGCGATCAGAGTGGGCTGATGGGCACCAGGCTGCTTTGTGGATGGTTTAGGCCTGAGTTACAACCTGGTATTAAAAAGGAACTGTGTTCTGTGCCAGGAGCATTTCAAAAGCTGAAGCCTAATTTGGTCTGGAAACTTCTTTGCTCGGAGGAAAAGTGGAGCGAGTGAGCCGACCTGGGCTCACTCTAGGCGGGCAGATTCTTAGTTATGCCAGCTTGGGTTGTCCAGTTTGTGAATTACTTTAATCTCTGACTTCTCTCTTTGTTTTGGGCTGCCTGCCTGTTTCAGCAACGATTCCCCCCTTTTCTTCTGGAACCATCGCTCAGCGCTCTCTCCCCTGCCCTCAGCTGCCGATGAGTTATTTTGTAGCACAGCTTTATTGAGGGATGTGTATCACACCATAAAATCCACCCGTTGCCAGTGTACAACGCAAGAAATTTCAGTTAACGTGTAGGGTTGGGCCGTCCATCTCCACCACGTTCCCTAATGTCCATTTGCAGTATCGGGAGAAAGTCCCCTTCCATCCTTAGTTTGCTGAGAGTTTCTGTTTATTTATTTATGAATTTTTATTAGCTCTTTAAATTTTTTTACTCTTTTCATCACGGATAGGTTTTGGACTTTGTCACAGGTTTTTCTGTGCCTGTGGGGATGGCCATGTGGGGTTTGTCCTTTACGAATATGGTAGACTGCATGAATTGAATTTTGAATGTTAAACCAACCTTGAATTCCTGGGATAAATCCCACTTGGTCATGGTGTATAATTTTGTATATGTTGTTGATGGGGGTATATGATCAGAAACACTTGGAAATCACTGTTTTGGGGTCTGCCACACATCAGACGTGAACCTCCTTAGGGGGAAGCCATACTTGGATTCTTTCAGTGCAATGAGTTAGAGATTCCAGGACCCAGAGAAACAGAAACCCAGCAGAGGACTTCTCACGCCCCCTCTTCCCTATTAAACACAGTGTCCACACCATTCTGAGATTGTAATGCCACTCGTTTTAGCCTTTAGCCCCACGTGGAAAACTTCAGCAGTCAGAGGGGTCCTGCCCCCGGGCTGGACCTGCTCATCTTTCTCGGGAGTGGACAGAAGTGGCTTTTG